CGGCCTCTGATGCTCGTACTTCACCTGCTGAAAATTCAAGCACCGATCCATATACTCTACTATATCTTTCTTCATTAACCTCCACCAATAATGTTGCATCAAGTCCTGATACAGCTTTGCGACACCCAGATAAATGGAATATCGTGAATTGTGGGCCTCCTCAAGAATCAACTCACATAACACATCCACATTGGACACAAAAATCAGACCCTGCATCCTCAACACCCCTTCATCTCCAATAGAAACCTCCTTGGCACCGCCGTGCTGCACTGTGTCCTCAGCATCTGTGAGAGAATAGAAGAGTCAAGTTCAAATTCTGGAAATAACAAATCCGCACAATAAGAATACAAGAAAGTGAAGTTTCCTAACAGTTCGGTAGCCTCTCGAAGACAATTATAGATGTCTCTGTACCGATCTACTAGACTCTACTAAACTTGCTAATGACTCGTAATACCTATGAACCTAATGCTCTGATACTAACTTGTCACGACCCAAAAGCTCAACCCGTCATGATGGAACCTAACACACCAGCTAGGCAATCCAAAACATAACAATAAAGGAAATAGAACAACAAAACTTATAAAAATAGCATAAGTCTTAAATCTCAATACAACCAAATACTGCTAATACAAGGTAAATCTCCCAAAACTGGTAAATACAGAGTCATGAGCTCTACAACGGAATACAAGTCTGAAACTGAACAATAATAACAATGACTGAACCATAACAACAGTATGTAAGGGAAAGACAAGTCAAAACTACGAACAAAGATGCAACTCTACCTCGTCTGTCGAAGATAGTCCAACAAGCAAGCCTACTGCTAGTAACTGGTCCCCATACTTGGATCTGTATAATTAAATGCAGAGTGTAGTATGAGTACAACCAATCCAATATACGTAATAATTATCTTAACTAACCACGATGACGTAAAAGAAAACAAGAATTATAAATGATACATGCTATAACATGTACAGTTTCATATAATCCAACAAGTACAGAACAGTAATATGAAAATATGTAAGATACTGAAAGAACTATCTGTGTGTGTGTACAATTACTCAAAATCTCTATTCAGTCACGGGTACAACAGATTAGATGATATGTAGATAATCAAATAATAAACTATGGAAATTGCAAGTAAAGATGAAATACAATTCCAAAATAACATTGGCCAGACTTTCCTCAACCTTTCCATATCTGTACCAAACCACCGATCAGTTTTCCTTAATAACCGCGTGTACACCATCAAGAGAAAAACATGAGAGAGTGACCCTAAGGGGATGGATCTATATCCACACGCTGCACGGATAACTCACATGCTAATAGAATCAACCGCACAGACAACTCACGTGCTAACAATATCAATAACTGGATATACGCAGACAACTCACGTGCAAATAATCACAATCCACCCGGTGTGGTCACAGGCTACCAGTCCAGCTCATAACATAGAGAAAGGAAATATGTGGGAATATATGTACGTGATCAATAATTATCAAGTTCATATTCCTGGATTGGTATAAATAACATATTATAGTGTAGGCATGTGCAATGTGTGCTATCATAGTTAGAACAGACAATTTCCATCAAAAATAGCAGTTATCAAGTTGAACAGGACAAATAACCTCAACGAAATCTCAAATATGGTACAAATATCTCAAAGAGGGGTGCAAATAGGATAAACGTCTCAATTTGAAGCTTATCAATCATTTCACGGCATGTCATAGCCTAAGCACTACCCCAAGCATGAAAATAGTACCCTGGTGCATGCATATGGGCTCAACCCTACACATGTGCACCACCCATAGCATGTAGCTATCACAAATAATTCAGGCAACTAATGCCTCAACCAAGTTTGGATAAGATACTTACCTCAAGCAAGCCAAATTACTCCCCTTAGCAAGCCCTTCCCGCGCATATCAACCTCAGGAAGGCTCGAATCTAGACAAAATAATGTAATACTATCAATAAGAGCTATAGCAGTTGATTTCAAATAATAAAGCTAAGATCTTTAACTAAAATCAAAAAGTCAACCCAAAAGTGAACCTCGGGCCCGCACCTCGGAACCCGACAAAATTCACAAATTCTGAACACCCATTCAGTTACGAGTCCAACCATACCCAAATCATCCAGTTTTAACCTCAATTCGACCTTCAAACCTCCATTTGTTATTTTTGCAAAGTTTCACAAAATCCCCCATTTATTCACTTTAATTCACTAACTAAATGCTAAAACAAAGATGGAATCATGATGTCATAACAAATCCGAGTCAAAAATACTTACCCCGATCCAAGACGTGAAAATCCCTCCTAGATCGCCGAAAATCGAGATCTACAACTCAAAATGTGAAATAATACTCTAACCATAGATTTAGGAGTTTAAACATTCTGCCCCAGGTGCTCTTCTTCGTGAATGCGAAAAATGCCTCGCGTTCGCGAAGCAAAAATATTTTCAGCGGATGAGACCTCTTACGCGAATGAGACAGCCCGGTCGTGAACATGATGAACAAATACCTTGAAGCTTCTCGATCACGGTTCATGCCTCGCGACCACGTATAATACATGCCTGCCACCAGGGCCTTGCCTCCCTTCAACGTAAACGCGACATCCATCACCCGTTCACGATGAACAACCTACCCGAATCTTCGCGAATGCATCCATAGTCTTGCGAACGTGACACACAAATTCCACCTGCCACCCAAATACTCTTCGCGATAGCGACACTTCCCTCGCGAAGGCATATAAGGAAACCAGATACAGAAATATCAGCAGTCCAAAATGAAACCAAACATGATCCGAATCACTCCCGAGGCCCCTCAGACCCCATCCAAACATACCAACAGGTCCTAAAACGCATCACGAACTTAGTCGAAGCCTCAAATCATATCCAACAATATCGAAATCACGAATCACACCCCAATTCTAGCCTTGAACTTCCAAACTTCTAAAATTAATGCCGAACATATCAAACAAACTCCGTTTGACTCAAATTTTGGCGACAAGTCATAAATGATACAACGGACCTATTTTAATTTTCGGAACCAAAATCCGAGCCCGATATTAATAAAGTCAACTCTCGGTCAAACTTCTCAACCTTTCAAAACTTCAACTTTTTAACTTTCGCAAATTCAAGCCAAAACGACCCGCAGACCTCCAAATCCGTACATATGCTTAGCTAAGTCCAAAATAACCATACGAAGCTATCAGAACCATCAAAACTCCATTCTGGAGTCGTTTACACAAAAGTTAACATCCGATCAATTCTTTCAACTTAAGCTTTCAACTTTGGAACTAAGTATCCAATTCACTCCGAAACATCCCCGGTACCAAACCAACCACCCCGCCAAGTCACGTAATCATAATTGAACATAAAGTAAGCAATAAACAGGAGAATGGGGTTACAATACACAAGACGACCAACCGGGTCAACACAGTAAATGTGGGGTAGCTAGCCATGTAACCACTGTGAACATGTAATAGATCATTTGATTGCATTTTAACTTTAATAGATCATTTGATTGCATTTTAGCTTCGGTAAAGGGCCAAATATACCCCTGTACTTCGAAAAAGGTTTAAATATACCATTCGTTATACTATGAGTCCAAATATACCCCTGTCGCTATACTTTGGGTTCAAATATACCCCTCATTTAAATGGAGGGACACGTGTCATCGTCCTATTGGTCAATTCTAAATATCTCCTAATTAATTAAAAAGACACATATTCATACCCGAAATATTTGTAAAAATTTCTTTAAAAAACTAAAAAAACTGAAAAATGTTTATTTTGTAAAAACTGAAAAAAAATATTTTATTACAAAATAATAGTTTCAGTTTTTTTAAAAGCAATTATTTTTTGTAAAAACTGGAAAAATAATATTTTGTTGAATTTTTTTTGTAAAAACAGAAAAAAAAATCAACAAAATATTTTCATTTTTTTAAAACTAATACACTTGTAGTCCACTGCTTTAGGAAAGTCTTTTTTTCAGTTTTTAAAACAAAATCTTTTTTTTCACTTTGTACAAAAAATATTTTCAGATTTTCAGTTTTTTTAAAGCAATTATTTTTGTAAAAACTGGAAAAAAAAATATTTTGTTGAATTATTTTTTTCAGTTTTTACAAAAAAAAAATATTTTTCAGTTTTTTCAGTTTTTTTAAAGTAATTTTTACAAATATTTCGGGTATGAATATGTGTCTTTTTAATTAATTAGGAGATATTTAGAATTGACCAATAGGAGTATGACATGTGTCCCTCCGTTTAAATGAGGGGTATATTTGAACCCAAAGTATAGCAACATGGGTATATTTGGACTCATAGTATAACGAATGGTATATTTAATCCTTTTAAAAAAGTACAGGGGTATATTTGGCCCTTTACCGTTTTAGCTTTAATAGATCATTTGATTGCATTTTATCTTTAATAGCTTTTAGTAAATGTGGGTCAGACGACCAAAAGTGTTTTATAGAATTTTAGGATTTTTGGTTATTTCATTTGATTGCATTTTAGCTTTAATAGATCATTTGCATTTTGTATTACTAAGAACATTTTAAAATTATAAAAATATCAAAAATATTTTTATCATTCATCCGTTGCATTTTTAGGGTTTAATTATATTGTTAAATGCATTGACTAAATACAAAAATCACAAAAAATGGGGGTTTACATTGATCATCCCTTGCATTTTTAGGTTTAATTAATTCATTAATTTGTTAATTCGCCATTTAAGTAGTTTAATATTGGTCAAACTAGATTAGTAGGCCAATTGTGTAAATTTGGGTTATAGCTAAGCTTAAAACAAAAAACAAAGGGCGGCTCATGTTATATCTGAATTGGGCCAAATTGGATGGCCCAATTACCTCTCAGCACCGCCCCAACCCAATCCCATTACCCAGTCTATGTCATTATCAAATACTGAACGACACCGTTTTGGTGTTGAATTCTTCTCCGCCCTTCATATCTTTTGATCTGACGGTTCAAAACTCATCAGTCTTCCCCAAAGAAATGTCCTAACAGACCCCTACCCCAAAGACCTCTCAAACACTCTCTTCCCGTCTCTCCGGCCAAAGGCACAATCAAAAATCGCCCACGACGGCGGGCCACATCCAAACCACCCTAAATTATCACCTTTCTTATTCCCAATCTCCAGTCCATCTCTCCTAAAAACCCTTCAATCTCGTCATTTAGTAAATCTAGGAATTTCAAAAAACTTTGCCTCTTTTTTGATTTCTCTTGATGAGAGCAATCGATGGACGTTAGTTTTGGTTCATTTTATAGCCACCAGAACCCGGTCAAATCCCGTTGACTGGCGAGTTTTCTCTCCAATTGCTCCATTTTTGTTTCTTTGATCTGTCCAAGTCCAATATGTATGATTCTCATCTCGTTTCTTTAAGTTTCAGTTGCATCCCCATTCCCGTCTCTCTTTTACTCTATCTCTGTCAAGAAAGCATGTTTGGTGCTCAACTTGTTTGATGTTAATTTTTACAATAGGCTATTTAGTTTCTCAAATTCGCAATTAGCTTCCTATTTTCAAGATTGAACACCTCAGGATTTCATATAGAGATCAAATGTTTTGGTAATTAATAAGCATGTTGTGTTCATCATTATTTGTTGGATTTAACCGGTTTCTATGGTCACATAATAATTGTTTCAATGGTTTAGTCTTGTTGTTGAGTTTTTCTATCTTTTTTTATTATTATTTCGTTTTGAGTTTGTTATGTTCTTTAGTTGGATTGAAGCTTGATATTGAAAGCCATTTGTCCTAGGCTTAGGGTGCAAATGGATGGTAAATAACAGAGGTTCTTGGGCGTAGTTGGGGGAATAGATTTAGGGAATCTCTCAATTAATTTCCATTGGTAATAAATCAAGTAAAAGGGGTCGGGTATTACGGGCGTGAGAGGTAAAAAGCAGAAAATAAAAGGATTAGAAAGAAAAAAAAATAACTTAAAGCAGCCTTAGAATCTGTTATAAAAAGAGCACCACTCTTCACACTTTAGGGGGCATTCATTCATAGCATTCATAAGCAGCTTGAAAAAAAACTCTGCAATACAAAAGTCAAATCTAAAAACAATTCAAAAAAGGCTTCAAACAAAAACCAAAAAAAAAAAAAAGCAAATTAGGATTTCAAGGAATTGCTTCAATTTATGTTGGTTTGGCTACGATTTTCTGGGTTGTTGAAGAATATTTTAAGTTTCGAAAGGCTTGATTTGTTGTTGTTATCCCTGCTGTTAGCTGATCTCCATCCTTCTTTCCTTATGCCTTTATTTGGCTGTTGTCATTTTATTTTCTCCGCACACAGAATCCGTGTACTCATGTTTGATATATAAGAGTGATTTCTCAAGTTATCTCTTAACGTGTTGAATGAATTCTGTTGAGCCTGATGTTTTGTTTCTATGTGTTATGAAATGTTCTCTTAGTGTTCAATTGTTTTTGGTCAGAACTGGTTAAAAACCTTACACTCATGAATTGTTACATAATTAGTCAAAATTCATCAGTTAAAATAGCATGTGATAGAATCTACATATTTCTCTACATATTAATTCAGATCTGGAAATTTCAGTAGTTGATTCATGCATAACTTTAGACTTAAATATAGGCTACGGGTTAGATATTGTGACTGCAAAAGTGTTGATTCTGAGTATTTCCAAATTGTGTCCAAATCATTCTGACGAACACATCCAGCGAGAGATCTTCATTTTTGGAAGGCTAACCATTTTGTGGGTCAAATCCATGAGTTAGAAAATAGGACAGACCTGATAGGCACTGTTTGTACATTTAATGAACAACTGCTATAAGAGTTTCAACTAATTTGTTACATGTTATGGTTAATGCAATTTAGAAGTAGCTTGTTACTATTGTATTCATAAATATGGCAGTTTTGTTTAGTGAATTCATTGATAAGGCCTGTAATAGCTATATCTCTTAATATTCAAACTATAACCAAGACGCGTTAATTTGAATGCAATTCCTTATTCGTGTATTTCGTTTCAATTGCATCGTTTAATTTGATTGGAATTTGGGTTGTTTAATGACCTACAATTTTCGTTTGGAATGCCGCAGCGTGTAGCGGGCCTGACCCGCAAAAATGGCCCAGCAGGGGTCAAGTAACACCTATGGGTCCATTGGGCCTCAATTGTTCGTCCTAGCAATGGCATGTAACTTCACGTGCACGAGGCCTGCCACTTGAGAAGGCCTCGATACGCTGGGCCTCCCCTTGAGCCCGACTTTGACTCACGTGGACTTGTGAGAGGTTTTAATGTCGGCTTTTAATCATATACAATTTGTAATATCATTAAATCAATTATTAGCTGATGTAGTATCAAGCAATTATGAGTAAAACACGAAGCAAGCCTTTGAACTACCAAAAGACAGTGACATTGGAGTTGAGTTATTTTTAAACGCAATCAATATATAAGTAAACCCAGGTATCCAGCGAACTACCTTGTGACTTTGCACACAAAGAGAAGATGACTTAGCAATTAATCAACAACTCAAAATAAGCTTAATTAATTTTATATCTTATCCATAATAAATCATTCCATAATTTTGGACCTTCACAATAATCTCAAACTTAGGAAAATTAATCCATCTTATGAACATTCGTAGTAGCTTTAGGCGTGCTTTAACTAATAATTCACTATGTTTATGGGTATTATGTTTATGGGTACGGTTCCCGTGGTATGATTGTGACACCTAATCCCAAATTCAAGTGCGTGTTCGCTTGCCTTGATATCATAACTTCAATAATAATAATAAAATAAGTATGTTGTAAATTGCGGGTGCATTTTGCGTGGCACAATTTGCGATGTGTACAAAACCATAAGTGTGCAACATCATAACTTGTTCTAAAATAATTTCATAAATGCCTAAAACGGATTAAAATATGCAATTAAAATCGGTAAAGATAAAAATGCACATAGGTTCTAAAACATGTAATAATCAGGTAATTAAACCGAGTGTAATTGTAAAGCGACCATGCTAAACCACGGAATCTGGGAGTGCCTCACACCTTCTCCTAGGTTAATAGAATTTCTTACCCGGTCTTCTATGTTTCGCAGATTTAAATTGAGTCAAACTTTTCTTGAATTGGGTTTTTAAAAACGGTGACTTAGGATACCTTAATAATTATTCAAAGTGGCGACTCTCAAAAAATAAAATAAAATAATTTCTTTTCAATAATGTCACTTAAAGTGGAAAAACTCCTTTCTTTCATTCCCCGGAAAAAGGTGTAACAGCTCTGGCAGATCATGAACCTAGAACATCTGGTTCAGGGTTCAGAATTCGAGCTTAGATAATTGTTATACTTGGCTTTCTTGTTTATTGTCTAATTTTATGTGTTTGATCCTAATGTACTAAATACCTCTCTTTACTGCTTTAATATTGCGTAAACTGTATATAAACTGTTACGCTACCCTTTTCTCTCTAAGTCTTCTAAATCTTTTGGGAGCGCATGCATGCGTGACTCTTTTTCCTGTTAGAAGTGTCACACCCTAATGTTAGAATGGGGATTAGATTGGTTACAAATCCGGATGGCTTTTTGGTTCTCGGCACATTGCCCCCCTCCCCCCCGGCTGGCTCGAGTTGTTGTCACGCCCCGTCCTTGGGGAGCGCGGCCGACGCTCAATCGAAATACCCCAGTCAAGCAAGCCTACTTGATACCTTCTACCCGACTTTACCCATGAACAAAGTGAAGATGTATCCCATTAATTAGACAATGAGAAGATCGCATGAATAACACAAACAATATTACCATTAGTTACTTAATTTACAATTTCCAAAAATATATTACATTACACATTAATAGTTTAGAAGTGGAAGCGTGTGATACAAATACAACACCTTTAGTTCAACTTTTCCAACACCAAGATACAACCCACACTATGTCTACAGAGCCTCTAATGGATACAAAAGAGTAGTATGAAGATGCCGGCAATAAGACTCCGGCTATACCTCAAAACACTAAACATAGAGGACAAAAGGTACAAGACCCCTAATGAAATGGGGCTCACCAAGTCAATTGAGGAGAGGGTGTGTTGCTATCACTAATCAATGTTGCCTGCTGTGGAACCACTTGCATCTATGAAAGATGAAGCGCCCCCGGTAAAAGGGACGTTAGTACATATGGAATAGCACTAGTATGTAAGACTAAACACCCTCTCAATAGAACGAGTAACAGTAAAATGAGAAAGAAACATGGAATCTATGAGAGCCTCAAACAATATTAAAGTGTCGAGTTAAGAGAAAGATAAATTTCAAGTAAATTTCAATATCTCTAAGTTGGGAGATCTTTAGTAATGATATACCACTGTGCTATTAGCATGGAGTCCGATCACGGCCCGATCGGCTAAGCCGTGTCACCCAAGACATCCAATCACAACACCACCATGTGCGGGGCATGGCGTCCGATCTCAGCCCGATCGGTTAAGCCGTCTCACCACAATGCCGTGTGAGTCTACATCACATCAAATTTCACTAGCAACCATCTCATCCCAATTAAGGGGAATAATCTTAACATATCAATACAGGGATTTACCCCTCAATCAGTCATACACCAGCACGTACAGTTTCGGGGTTAGGTTATTTCAACCTACCCTTCCTCGGTGACTAAACGATACTCCCAAAATATTTATGATAAAAAAAAGGAGTTACAACACATTACATAACTTTTACACTTCTTTTCATTTCATTGGCACTATTGGCCACAAGTGTAGTTTTCATTCATGGCATGATAGCCGCATATTATATCTCATATTCATTTCCTTCACTTTTAAGCAGCATCAAAGATTATTGACAACAACAACATTTGGAACCAGGACCTTAAATATGTATATGAGCAATCATGAGTTTTAAGCACATTGAGTTTTCTTCCACAATTTGGCATAATAAATTTCATTTGAAACACGAATTGAAGTCAGCATTTTAATACACAAATCATACTTGAACACATTCCCGAAGGAGAGCATAATGTAATAGGAGCAATTGAATCGCATTTTGAGCATATAATTTTCGACACACTGCTTATTTGGAATAATCAGATTTATTAGGAATACTCGGGACGTGAGGAATAAGAATCATAGGCCAATCACACTTTAGACTTATGAGAACATCATGGGATTCGATTCTAAAAGAGAAGCTTAGCCAACATACCTCGCTTGAGCTCTCCTTAAATTACTACAATGTTCCGGAAATCCTAGCAACTTCAATCTATCAGAGAGATGAAATAATTGAACCAGAATTAGGAAGAGGTTCATGGGTTCAGCTCATTTAAGCATTTCATCAAACACTATGTGTGCAAACTTAACTATAAAGTTTTTCTACAAGATTTTCTTCACCCCACAACCAATTTAGCACCAAGAGTTTACCCCTATTAGTTCAATGACCTTCCCACCATCCTTATTGGTACATGCATGCATCAATAACAACTCACATACCTAAGAATCACACTCCCCATTAACCAACTTTTGCCCAAACTCGAAATTGGAGACTAGGGTATGGAACCTTACCTCTTTAGATGAAGACCTTGTGAGCTATCCTTGTAGAATTTTAAGGCTTTAGCAAGAACTTGATGATCAAAGGGGGTTGGGGCTTCCTTATCTCTCTCTAAGATACTCCCCTCTCTCTAAAATAGCCTTTTAAACCAGTCCAAATGATCCCCAAAGTAGTTTTATAAAAATGAGATTGGGTAAATTTTTCTAAACTTAAGCCTACAAAATCGGGTTTGCAATCGCAGACCGGACCGCAAAACGAACATGTGGTCCGCAAAGGGGACCGCAAAAATGGTCCCAAAACTAGGTAGGCATGTTCAGGTCTGTGGCCCTTATGCGGCCCACAGAACGTCTATGTGGTCGCATAACGCGCGGCGAAACCCCGGGTTCTAGGTCAATTTTTACGGGGCCTTACAGTTGTCCGCTCAGATAAGCTAGGTCTAGCATTCCATACCTTTTAAGGTTTAAATCAAGAAGAACATAGCCCCATGCCGGATCCCTAGTAGGTACATTTGTTTGCATCAAGTCCATTTGACTTTGGGGACTCAACACAGGGGTTGGGTCCGTCTAGAACAGGTATGCCCAATATTAAAAGACCATCCGGATGCATCTTACATCCTACTTGTGCATTTATTTGTTTCAGCTTGCATGTTGACCGACTTCTAGAATATGGAATGAAAATCAAGGAAAATCACGAGAGAGGGGTAGGTGAGAGAAAATTCACTCGGTTTTCAAAAATCCCGATATTTGAATAATCCCAAAACTATGCCAAATTTTTAAAATGGTTGTTATAAATAAGCCAAATTTTTGAATGTCATGCTCCCCTTGTTTTGAAAAAACTCACCGAACTACGCGGGTCTAATTCTTATCGGATGTGAGATACGTAGGCAACCTTCATCGGGTTCGGGTTCGGCCCCGCATTTTGCAAAAATAACCAAAATAAGAAATGCAGTCAAACATTTTCAAAATAAAGTGGGACGCTGCTTTTGTCCAAATAACCTGAAATGTTCCTTCGGGACGCCGAATGGCTATTTTTACAAAAATAGCCATATTTGGTCCCTTCACTCAAATTTATGCCACTTAGCAAGCGCAATCTTAAAATCTTCCCCCCGAGGTGTTGAAGGGTCATATTTGCAACATTAGTCACTTTTGTTTTGGCTTGACGTTTGCAAAATTGATGTTTTCTATGACTATTTTCGATACAATTTCACTCTTTTTAACCTTGTTTTGTCCTTTAAAAAGTGCAGAATGAGCACTGTCCAAACCTTACCTTTGAGAGTTGCGGATGTGATACCATTGTCACTCCACATGTGGTGGGAGGATTTAGGGAAAGAAGGACGTGAACGAGTTAATCAGTATTTGGGGGCGCTCACCGGACTGTTAAATATTCAGTCTAGAAGTGACTTGATAGAGGCACTAGTGTCGTTCTGGGACCCAGCTCACAATGTGTTTCACTTCTCGAATTTTGAGCTGACACCTACTCTGGAGGAGACAGCCG